CAGGAAGTGGAAAACGTTGTTTCAGGGAATCTTGGCTAACCCAGTATTCTCTATGGTTATCATATTCACCTAGGTTAAAAGGTGTGTTTTGCATTTTCTATGTTTTATTTCCGCAACCAGTTCAAAGAGGAATTCAAGATGCATTCATTACCACTCCTTGTACAAAATACAAAGATTTTAATGAATGTGCCAGAAAATAGGGCTGTACCGAATATTCGCTTTGTATTCGCTTCGGGGCCGAATAGTGGACCTATTGACTATTCGGTATTCGGCCGAATAGTTGCGGTCGGGCCGAATACGAATAGTAGTTACCTTACACCCGCTTCTGCATATACGGCCTTAATACTGACACCATGGAACGATTGGTTTTGTTGAAAGCTAATGCAGCTTTTTTTCATGTATTAACTAAGCTGTCAGTGACAGTTTCCAAGTTTAGTTACTTGTTAAAATACTTAGGATTCTTTTATTTCTAGTTATTAATTACCACAGACTGACTGAAGGATGCAAAACATAAAATGTTTACTATTTTATACAAATTCTAACTAGACATGGAAAGAATATAAACTCCGGCCACATCCAAGTCGATAATATGAAAATCGAACGAACAGAAACATATAAGTTCTTGGGTGACAACTCCAACTGCTCCAACACGCTGAATGAAAGACGAAATACAATCTAGAATACAATCTAGAAATAAAGTATACTATGCCCATCAACATCTGCTAAAGTCAAAGTGCTGTCTCGCAACACAAGGATCAAAATATATAAAACGTTGAAAAGACCAGTCGTTTTATTTGGCTCTGAAACTTGAAGCAGAAATAAAAGAGATAAGGCCTATTACAGGTTTTCGAAAACAGTCTTACGACAAATCTTTGGACCCATCAAAGATGCTAACAGCGGGGAATGGAGAGTGAGAAGCAACAACGTAACACATAATCTGTTTAAATCACCATTGATCACTGGCATCACGAGAGCTAACAGACTAAAATGGTTGGGGCATATTGAAAGAATGTCAGATGTCAGAGAAGTAAAACTATACACCTGAGAGAGGAATGGGCGTAGACCACAAGGCAGACACACAAAAAAAGTTCGAGAGATAATATCTAGCCAGACCTGCAAAAAGCTGGTTTCACAAATTGTGAAGAGATGGCCAGCCAGAGAGATGAATAGAGACGAGGGATATCTGCAGCAGTAAACCTCAAGGTCTCAGAATGCTAAACAAGAAGATTACTATTATGTGCTACTTTATTTGAAGTAAAATTTCAGCGTACATTTGACATTATAAATTTTTTGTTTTTTAGATATATTTTATAGACTATACACAATTCGTATTCGTATTCGGCCGAATAGTTGGTCCCGTTATTCGTATTCGGCCGAACAGTGAAAATGACTATTCGGTACAGCCCTACTAGAAACCATACTAGCTCAGCATGGCATCGTGGGTCTCAACAAGAGGCTGAACACTTCGCGTCAACCATTAGAGATCCAAATAAGGATATTTTTTCTCAGATAGATAATTCCGTAAAACGAACTATTGAAGAAAGCAAAAAGAAACTGTATCCTATTATTTCAACAATCTTATTTTGCGGAACAAATGATTTAATAATTCCTGAGAAAGATAGCACCAAAGGAAATGTCGAACAACTTTATGCGTATCGAATTGAGGGAGGAGACAGTATTTAAAAAAACCATTTTGATACAGCTGCTGGAAATGCACGTTACACATGACACCGAACGCAGAATGGTTTGATCAATTTGTCTGAACAAGCTCTGCGAGAAGACATTGTAAAAGCTGCTAACAATGCTGTTGGATTCTCGATCATAGCCGATAAAACAGCAGATATCTTAGGAACAGAACAGTTATCACTGGGAGTCCGGTTTGTAGATACGTCTAGTGAGAAGGCTATGATTCGTGAGGAATTCCTTGGATTTTCTCCGCTGAAAGGTATGGACGCCGCCACGATATCTGATTGTATTATTCTACATTGCAAAACATTTGGTCTTCTCCTTAATAATCTGCTGGGTCAAGGTTATGATGGGTGCTCGACAATGGCCGGAAAAGAAAATGGTGTTCAGGCAAAAATTTGAAGTATTTACCTCAAGGCTGCCTTTGTTCACTGTGCCTCGCATAGACTGAATCTCGTAGTAAATGATCTTAATAATGTTGCAGTGATACGAAATAATATTGGTACTATCAAAGCAATTATTACATTTTTTTCGTGAAAGCCCAAAAAGGAGGACATCTGTCCCATATATTCCTCTTCTGTTTGAGACAAGATGGACAAGCAAGTATAAAAGTATTCGGATTTTTTCTAGTAAATTTGAAGATATTTATTGTCAAATGAAAAATTTTCATTGCATGCAAGTGGAAATAAACGACAGGCTGCACATCAGTTTTATTGTTCATCAAAGTCTAGCACGTTTTTTATTTTGTCTCAATATTATTTCTCACCTTGAGTTGGTTTGACTTTTTGGAAAACGCGAGAATACAAAAGTAGCCAAGATTTCATCGACTTGTACCTTTTACAAAGTTTTATCCGAGTGTCAGGTGTGCCTTACTAGTTTTGTTAACATTACCAGCAACAACATGTGCGGTGTAGCGATCGTTCAGAACATTACGTCGTGTAAAAGCATTGCTTAGATCTACAATGTCAGATGAACGTCTGTCTGGATTGTGCATGTTAAGCGTACACAGAGACAAAGTTAACTGCAACAAAAAAGACTTTATGGACAAAATTGTAGATATGTTTGGTAGCGATCACAGAAGACTCCAGTTCTTGTTTAAAGAATAAATATTATGTTAAATTTATGTTGTAATATTATTTTTGCATATGCATATATTGTGTTAGTAAAAAATTTGTTGCTACAGTATGCCCTTCATTACTACAGTGTCCTGTTAAACTGACACTAAAAAAAATTTTTTTACTCCAAATGAAAAGCATCTAGAAAACATCTACCAACTAAACGTCAAAGAGGCATCTAAATGCAAGGAAACAGTAATTTTTAAACTGACACTGAAAGAAAAAAATATTTAACTCCAAATGAAAAGCATCTAGAAAAACATCTGCCATAGAAAAAATATTTAACTCCAAATGAAAAGAATCTAGAAAAACTTCTACCATCTAAACGTCGAAAAGACATCTAATTGCAAGGAAAAACATCTAAATGTGAGTGTAAAACATCCAAAGTGGCAACACTGCACGTCATAGTCAAGCGCGCGCGCTTTGCAGGTGCGCGCTTTTGCGATGTGAACTTGGATGGAGAGAAACCACGAAAAACCACAACCTGAACACCCTGGAATTTATTGGGAATGTCTCCCGTGTCATCATCGTGATGTCAGGGGTAAGTTATAAATTAAGAACCAAAGACTGTAGACAGACAAGATGACCAATGGGATGAGGAGATCATCTATCTCGTGTAATTACCGAGACATAAGGAAAGCAAAGAATATGAACACCGTGACCACAGGAACACTGTAACCATAGGGGCCCTGTAACCATGGAAACACTGTAACCATATGAATACTGTCATAGGAATGTAAACACACGAATACTGTAGCTATAGGAACACTGTAACCATAAGAACACTGTAACCATAGGAACACAGTAACCATGGGAACACTGTAACCAAACATGCGTGTTTCAAAGTGCAGCTTTGAATTGGCTACCTCGTTTAAAAAAAAACGTTACTTGCAATATCTCACCAAGCAATTAATAACGCAAAAGACACTCAGTTTGTAGACTTGACGCAACAGCTGATTTACTTAGGCTCTTCAGTAGAACAATCTGTACTGCAGTGGATTCCAGGTCACTGTGGCTTGGAAGGCAATGAAATAGCGGACAAATTGGCCAGAAGCGGCAGTGACATGGTACAACCAAATACAATAGCGACTTAACCCACCAAGAGATGAAAACACTAATACAAACTAGTATCCAAGAAAGGTGGCTGGATACACACAACAGATTTTCTCCCCAAGACTCACTTCATCGCCTCTCTAGAGAGGGACAGTCTATTATATTCAGACTAAGGACAGGGCACAACAGATTTCGTCAACATATGTTCAAATGTTTCGGTGTAGGAAATACGGAGACGTGTCCCTGCAGCGTGGCACCCGAAAATGCTGAGCATGTGCTCCAACACTGTAAACTGTATGCTGACAACAAAGATGCAATCTGGCCTGTTCAAACCACAATAAAGACAAAACTGTATGGTACACAAGAGGATATAGATTGCACGATAGCTTTCATAAAGGCTACCGGCCTCCTGATATAAGTTATCTGACAGAAGGATCGAAGAAGAAGAAGCGAAGGGACATATCCATACAGAGTTTGCCAGGCGTGGTCGGTCCTCAACTTATTCGTGCCCAGCATTCTTATTTTGGGGTTGGGTTTTGCAGCCAGTGGAAGAACCATACTCAGTGGCCGCTGACGTCATGCATGGAAGTTTATAATCACCACCTACTCTCTGTTGTTATAGAAGGGTGTAGTTTTACATCGGCGACCGGGTCGCCCATTGGCTCGCCGGTAGACGATTTCTTCGCCGGTCGGGACAGTATTTAGGTCTGTTTCCTTTCATCGTATCAACACTGCAAGAGTGCTTTTCATGGCTACTTGGTGGCGGGCATTACTAAACCATTGTATATGGCGCACATAACGTAGTCACAATTATAACCTAAAGCTCCAACTTTGGGAATGCTCGTTCAACGAGACGATGCGTTTAATTTTTTTGTTTTGCAAAGCAAGCAAAAAAAAAAAAAAAAGTTGCAATATTAAAATTTTCAAATTATTTGTTTCGCTCAAGAATTCTGGCACTACACCAGTGTATTGTATATATCTGAACATTATTTTTAAAAAGTGCATTTGTATTCGGATAAGTCATTAACAGTACAATGTGAACAACTGCTTTTCTTTATGTGTATCAACCAAAGTATGATGTGTTATTGAACTTATAAAGTTTAGCCAGAACACAAAGCGAATATATTTAAACAAAAAAAAAATATTTTATTTTCTCTGTCTGTCAAGAATTGTAATAGAATTAACTATATTATTAGCAGTCTTAGCACCATTGCTGAGCACTTTCCTACTGTCTGACTTTGTTTTCAAACCGCTTGCTCCGCTAGGAACGTTGCCGTTGACACTTTGGCTAGTACCCAAAACAGGTATTGTCCTTCTTCTCGTTCTTTTCCGTTCTTCCTCTGCCAGTTTTTCTGCATCTATGTTAGGTCCTACACCTTGGAATCTTTCTATCGCTTCTGGTCCAAGCTTACAGATCTCCAGGGGTGGGTTCAACAAAGGGTTTCCATCCAAAGTAGATGTTGTATACCTGGGGATGGTTACAGATAATATCAAATGATAATGATAATAATATCAATAATAATGATAATAATAGGGGAAGCTACAACATAACAAATCGCTTGCAACTTTCTTCGTGAACTGTTAAAAGATATTCAGGAAACATTCCTAGCAGATACTAGACACAAGAGGCAGACAAAGATATTTTATGGACACAACCGTTCCTGCGGTCAGAAATAAAGGTCTCAACGATCTTCGTGAGAATAAGGTAAAAAACAATCGTGTGATCAAATCCAATGCTTAGACGTGTTTTTTAGGCGTTGTGTTGAATTCTCTCGACAACTACTGCAGCCCACGGCCAGTGCTCGAAACCGGTCGGTTCCCGGGGTTCACCCAGCCTCTAGGTAATGGGTACCAGAGTTAACACTCTGAGGTGAAGGGAGGAACGTCGCTGTAACTACGGAGCTTCGTGCGGACGGTGACACAGGCGGACTGTTTCTTATCAGCTGGCCGTACTGGTGGCAGAGCACTTATGGTTTATAACCGCGTGCAGTGACGCTGGTTCACATCTCCCGACTTTACTTTTAACTATATACCAAAACCCCTGGACAACACATTCGGCCTAATCTCAGACAGTTTGTCTGAGCTGTGATGAAATATAATCTGGTTATTTACATCCTAGATTAAAAACAATCGCTTCTCAAGCAGCACTATCAGGTTCAAATCCCCGATAGGTAATCTTATTGGCTTTTTTTTTTCTGCCTGGAGCAAAAATAAAGTCCTAACCTGAACAGTGTTGAGTCAGGAACTGACAGCACAGCACTCCGGACGTTCCCATAAGAGCTCCGTCTTCATCCTCATCAGCCAACGAAGATATCAAATTCCCATAGTGCCAGTAGCAGTTTGATTATATATGGCGACTGCATTAATCTTGTGTGCCAAATCCTCAGACTTACCGACACACTGTCTACACCGCAAAAGTGCCAAATCCTCAGACTTACCGACACACTGTCTACACCGCAAAAGAGCCAAATCCTCAGACTTACCGTCACACTGTCTACACCGCAAAAGTGCCAAATCCTCAGACTTACCGACACACTGTCTACACCGCAAAAGTGCCAAATCCTCAGACTTACCGACACACTGTCTACACCGCAAAAGTGCCAAATCCTCAGACTTACCGACACACTGTCTACACCGCAAAAGTGCCAAATCCTCAGACTTACCGACACACTGTCTACACCGCAAAAGTGCCAAATCCTCAGACTTACCGTCACACTGTCTACACCGCAAAAGTGCCAAATCCTCAGACTTACCGACACACTGTCTACACCGCAAAAGTGCCAAATCCTCAGACTTACCGTCACACTGTCTACACCGCAAAAGTGCCAAATCCTCAGACTTACCGACACACTGTCTACACCGCAAAAGTGCCAAATCCTCAGACTTACCGACACACTGTCTACACCGCAAAAGTGCCAAATCCTCAGACTTACCGACACACTGTCTACACCGCAAAAGTGGCAAATACAGGAAGTATTGGTCAGGGTTTTTAAAAAACATAAAAAAAAATTTGCTGTAACATTCTATGCTTCTCTGCAGATGTTTAGATTCCCAGTACACGTACTGCACACTCCGTTGTTATGTATATTAGGGAGAAGAAGAAGGAGAGCACTGTAGCACAGTCCCGCAGTGGCCCTACATTTATACGGTGGCTGAAGGAAATATCTAAACCTTACCGATACAGGCAATATATTCTTTATTCTTTTTTCAAGGGCTGGAACCACCATCGCAAGAGTTAAAACTAACTTTTCCAAAAGAGTTATCTACCATTTAACACATCCGTGTAGTAGCAGTCAATCAATTAACCAACCAACTAGTCGGCCAGTTGACGAGTCAAACAACCAGTCAATCAACAGACAACATAACCAACCACCAAACCAGCCAGCAAATACCACAATCACTCAACCAGCCAACCAGCAAAGCCACACAAGCCAAGAGTTGGAAACATTATCTTAAACCGGTTAGTTCGACTTTAGTCTCCCCAAATAGAGTAGGCCACTTTTCATTCACAAGTTTGTTGAGCTGGTCGACTTTCTTGAAGGGACCGGGTGTGTCTCGATCTGTTGTTTGGTTTCTGAAATGTCTTGCATTTACGTTTCCATTTCGAGAAAGAGAATGCCTGTGACACAGGTTGCAGCACTCTCTAGTGGGGTTGTGTGAGACTAAGTTTTTCCATGTTTTTAGAGTGTTAAAAGCGCCGCGTGCTAAAATATACAACACGCGATATCAATGGCATTGTGGAACACCCCCCGTAACCATGTGCGAAGGTCACAGGGCTCAGGAACTACCAATCAGAAGTCAGCTAGTGTGTGTATGGGCGGGGACTGCGTAGACTTACGTCGAACTTACCCTTTGACCTATATTACACGTGTACACACCTGTCTTTCCAATCCAGCTTGGACAGGTAGCCGAATCCCTTGGGCAGATGACAGATGTGGTTGTTCCCCAACCACAGACAGCGCAGTGCTCGCATGTTGACGATCGTGTCGGGTAGCTTGGTTAGTTGATTGATGAACAGAAGAAGAGTCTCTAGGTTAGTCAACTGGCTGATCTTCTTGGGTAGAAGCTGGGGACCGATTCATTTTTGGCAAGTTCATACACGGCAGTAATGTGATTGTATATATATATATACTGTCTTTTAACTCGCTTAGTTCAACTCATCCTACCTTTACTGGTTGATCCTGATTTGAAATGCCTGTTTCAAAACACTGTGTTCCACAGGTAGCTGTTTGAATAACCTGTGGTAACCCAGATGTAACTTCAGCCCTTTTGGTATCTGACTGTGTCTATTTTAGCCCCTGTGGGTTGAAAGGTCGGCTCTGTGGCTAAGTCGATGCGAACGCTTCGCTTCGTAATGCCGGGATGCCAGGTTCGATCCCAGCTGCGGGCATTGCGCCTTGCGTTGGTTTCGACAGTGGTATCAAGAAAGCCGACCGTCCAGCAAGCAATGGCAAACTACTGGACGTAAATTGCCTAGAGAAACCACACAACAGCCAGGGGCTGTTAGGGTTGGTTCTGCAACGTCCTGTAAAGGATACGCAACTAACTAACTTAGTGGGTTGAAACTAGGGCTGTACCGAATAGTGATTTTCACTATTCGGCCGAATACGAATAGCTGGACCAACTATTCGGCCGAATACGAATACGAATACGAATAGTGAATCATCATCATCATGTGCTTTGCAGGCTGGCATGGGCGATTATGCCTCGCCACAATCTGCGATCTCCTGCAGCACGTATTAGTTCGTGTGCTGACACACCTCCATGAAAAACCTTCGTTCCATGTTGTCAGCATTAGGCCAGCTTTTTGTCTCACTGAAGGTATTTAGGTTATTGGGTCCACTATTCGGCCCCGAAGCGAATACGAAGCGAATATTCGGTACAGCCCTAGTTGAAACAACTACTAATGTAGGTTTAAAAAATACTTAGCGAATCAACGAGTTTAAGGATATCTGTCTGGGCCTGAAGAGTTAAGAGAGTAAGCGCAGGTGAAAGAGGAGACAGAGAGAGTGTGTATGTATGTGTGTATGTATGTGTGTATGAGGGTGAAGAGTGAGAGAGGAGTAAGAAAGAAATGGAGAAAGAGAGAGAGAGAGAGAGAGAGAGAGAGAGAGAGAGGCAGAGAGGCGCATATAGATAAATAAATACGGTGCTATTCCCTAGCTACACGGTGCTAGTCTGTAGTGTTGGTGCTTTTGCTTCTTCCTTCCAAATGCGCTTCGTCAACTCGCCAAGTGGTCCTAGACTTTGCTGCGTCATGCAACTTACCTCGGGTCTTCTTCATATTTCCACATCGTTCTCCAGTTCTCGTCCTCACGTGCGCAAAGTGGGTGTGCATATATGTGTGTGTGTATGATGGGGGGGGGGGGGTGGGGTTGCTGTGTTTTGTGGTGTATGTGTATTGGGGGGGGGGGGGGGGTTTTGCTTATTGTTGGGTGCGCCCTGGATCGCATTTAGGGACACTGGAACGTGTCTTGTATTTCTCTAAAGTTTCACATAAGTGAACAAGTCGGCACATAGCCAATTTTTAATTGCACACATGGCAACACCAAGCCACATACACAGACAACAGGTATATAACATTACCTTTATCAGATTATCACTGGCATCGAGAAAGACAAGCGACGTGATATCACAGACTTCGAGAGGAAACTTCTCCAGCTTGTTGTTGGCCAAGTGCAGGCTTTCTAACTTCTGCAGTCTCTTGAATCCCCTGGGGAGCTCCGTGAGATGGTTGTTGCTGAGCGTCAGTCGTTCCAGGTTTGTCAACAGTGTTATTTCCACGGGCACCTAAAACAGATTTTCAGACAGTATTAGATAGTGTGGAAAGCAAGGCGAAACTACCACATGGTTTTCAAAAGAAACTTATCACGAAAACCTAAATGTTGCTGAAATTAAACATTTCACAAACTCTGATTATCTAGGCTCCATAATAAATAGTCGTGGGGATTGTTTAACAGAATTCAAATGGAGTAGGGCCATATTAAATATGCAAATATTAAACAGCATCTTCTCTGTATCAACATACGGATGCGAGTCGTGGACTATCTTCCAGTCATTAAGGAAGAAAATAGGGACTTTTAAGGTGCAGGGGTCGACCAGCACGAAGATGGTCATATAAGTGCACAAGATGGGAGAACTAGCGGGAGGCCGAGTTTTTTTCTGTAGACCGCGATGAGAGCGACGTTCTGCAAATGGCCTGCTACATGATTATGATGATGATTACGATTAGGCAAGATTCTTTCGTAAGATTTCGTGATTTACAGGTAAACTCATCAGCCCCACCCTCTTCCCCTTTTCCCCCAAGCTAAAAGGGTTACTAGACAATTTCAGAGGTCTATAAAAACACGAGCCCCGCATCAAAACTCCGATGTGCAATTGGCTAAAAAAAGGGCCTTATTTTTTTCTTTCATTTCAATCCCAGAAAACAAAGATTTAAATATTTTAAATCGTAAAGCCTTTATATTACAGCACTCAATTTTTGCTTCTCAATTAATTTAATGTAACCACATTTTATCATGAATCTACTTTTGTAGTCTAGGAGGTTCTTAAGCTAAAGTGAAATTGTTTTATCTCTATGGAAACATGTTCTGGAAATGTTTATTAATACTGGTTGCACTTAACTCTCTCAAGCTCCATGTTCTACCTCAAATACTAGACAATATCATTGTTTGGCCACTTGAAAAAACTAAGATGACACATTATAATGATTATGATAATGATAATAATAGAAATAAAGAAGAAGAAGAAGAAAAAGAAGAAAAGAAGAAGAAGAAGAAGAAGAAGAAGAAGAAGAAAAAGAAAAAGAAGAAGAAGAAAAAGAAGAAGAAAGAGAGGACAAATAAAAGGGCAGAGGTCAGGACCTGCAACAGTTCATTTGTGTCCAGCAGCAGAGTCGTCAAACAATGCAGTTTTCCAATATCCCTGGGGATCATGGGCAGCTTGTAGTTCAGACATGACTGCCGCTCTGGGCTCAGGTCCAAAACCTGCAGAAACATGCCCAGTCAGAATTAGCTTCAGGTATTTCACACAAGGATCTCACCTTAAAGGGACTTCAATGTTCTCTCGTGAGGAACATACTTTAAAGAGACAACAAGACTCTCTCGTAAGGAACATACTTTAAAGGGACAACAGGATTCTCTCGCGAGGAACACACTTTAAAGAGACTTCAAGGTTCTCTCGTGAGGAACATACTTTGAAGGGACAACAAGATTCTCTCGTGAGGAACATACTTTGAAGGGACAACAAGATTCTCTCGTGAGGAACATTCTTTAAAGGGACACCAAGATTCTCTCGTGAAGGAACATACTTTAAACGGAAAACAAGGTTCTCTCATGGGGAACGCACTTAAAATGGACAACAAGATTCTCTCGTGAGGAACATACTTTAAAGGGACAACAAGGTTCGTGAGGAACATACTTTGGAGGGACAACAAGGTTCTCTCGTGAGGAACATACTTTTAAGGGACAACAAGGTTCTCTCGTGAGGAACATATTTAAAATGGACAACAAGATTCTCTCGTGAGGAACATACTTTAAAGGGACAACAAGGTTCTCTCGTGAGGAACATACTTAAAATGGACAACAAGGTTCTCTCGTGAGGAACATACTTGAAAGGGACACCAAGGTTCTCTCACAAGGAATCTACACCAAAAACAGTCTGAGGTCTCAAGCCACGAACTGTCCTCAGAGAGACTCGCTGTCTTATACAAAGAACAAATTTATTTCGGTTTGAATCGAGGGCTAATTGTACCATCAGAATTGGAACTGTTAGCTTCATTAATAGATCAAGGCGTCATCGGGTAGGGTTGCAATTTCTTTCCTCTTCGCCGTTTGCTCGCCTGAAATTTGGAAAAATATAGGGAAATGACGAAAATTACGTGACCTATCTTCTTTAACCAAAAGATTTAATATTAATTTTCGAAGAGTTACAACAATCTCATCTAATAATGTAGCATTCACTTATATTGTCTGTCTTTTGTTGCCCATGTCAGCATTCGGAATGATCTAGTAGCATAAAGTTATTCAACGATATCCGGTCCAACGCTTCCTGGTTATATCTGGGTTTTATATGTGTTTTCTTTTTCGATATTGTATATTCATGCTTTTTATTTACCCGTGGTTATGTAATACCGCATACGTATTTATTAATTGTAACATGCTCATCATCATCATCATGTGCCTTGCCAGCTGGCATAGGCGCTCATGCATCTCCACAGATCACGATCCCTGGTTGCATCGAACAGCTCTCTTGATGATAGCCCCCCCCCCCCCTCCACCCCATCCCTAATGCCCACGTTTCATCTCATCCAGCATCATCTCTCTTGGTCTGCCTCGATCAGTTGTAACGTATTGTAGGAATATAGATGGTTAGGTTTAATGCATTTTGAGTGTACTTTAATAATAAGTGTGATAATCCTACTGTGTAATGTATATTCTTTATTTCTATGTTTATTATCAAACCCACTGCTGGCTGTGTGGATTTTTATCAAGGTATGGGACGTCGCAGGTCGACCCAGCCTAAAAAGGGTACTAGGATGGCTGTCCTGGGGAAGTAAAGATGGTCGGCGTAATGCTGACCACATTACCCACCCAGTGCCGTTGGTCTGTAAAAAATATGGGCACTCTTCACATATTCCCGATACGCCTACAGGCGGGAAAAGGTATCTTATATGTTTGTTTTCACACTGAAAATAAACATAACACAAGAAGAACAAAGCAAAACTTACCTCAAGGTCCATCAACTTGAAAACATCTTTTGAAAGGTGAACTAAATCCCGCCCCCTGACCTTCAACTTCTTCTGTCCGTAGAACATGGGATCGTCCGTCTCGACAAGCAGACGTATATTGCGTACTGATGAACTCTCAGACATCCTCATTTGATTGTGTCTTTAATGTCTAAATGTCAGCTTGCAATCAGGCAAGTGTATATGGACAACAACGTTTGTGTTCAAGATGTCAAGTTGATTGTGTTTATTTGTTTCGTAACTGGAAATTGTTGTATTTGTGAACACCAGAACGTATGGGTCTGTGGTTTATACAAAACAGTTATCAGTAAACTACATTAATTACCCGTGCAAATTATACGGAATTAAACGGTATCATAGAATCACTAATATTAAGCGGAGAACTAAACAAGTTCCAGTGTACCAGGAGGTGAAGAAAAACCGCTTGTATTGGATAGGACACACGTTGGGAAAACCGGAGAATAACACAACTAGAATGTCTTTGCACTGGAACCCAAGAGGGCATAAAAATAAAGGTAAAAAACAAATGGATAAGGGAGCTAGAGAGTGCAGTTAAAACGGTGGGGAGGACATGCGGGGAGGGGTGGGGGTGGGGGGGGGGGCTGCAGGCGATAGCGAAGGTTAGAACGTTTTGGCATGAGTTGGTTGAGGGCCTATGCCCCATTGGGGGACATAAGGCAGAAGGGTACACATCATGAACGTCATCTTGTGATTTCGTAGGAGATTCACCGGGAAACTTCTATATTCTAGGGGTGTCACGTTTTCCTCGTTTTGACCGTTTCAAGCAGATCCACTAGGGACGACATCCACTACCAACAAAATAATCAATGTTTCGATACTCATGAAACTCCATGTAGTACTTTTTCCGGTGCTTTATTAATATCATACCCCAAACAGGGGAAATCCACAGGTCAGGGGACAGTCTAATATTTCAAGGGGTGGTAGATAGGCTGAATGCACTCGTGGGACCTAGGCTGCCCTCTCTCGTGGGACGTAGGTGGGTTGGGGCAGTTCTCGATGTTTTGGGGTCGTTAAAAGCATTAGAAAACCGATAACCCAGTCTTACCACCCTCTAAAATGACGGACTGTCCTGTGACGTCATTTGGGGTAGGATATTAATAAAGCACCCTTTTTCCTAGTACGCAGGCCCCTGCGTAGTTGCGAAAACAAACCTGCGGCAGATGGTGTAGCAAGCCACGCCGTAACGCCCTTACAACATAGGGCAGCACGCGGGAACTAGCACGACATGAATGGGAGCGGTACGCAATCTCAGGCACGAGCGAGATGGGATGACTCTTGTGATAAGTTCCGGCAGAAAATAAAGTAAATCAGAGACTTTTTCTGAATGCCGTGAGGTCGAATCTTTACCCAGGTGCTTTATATTTGCTTGCACACACTTACACTTGTTGCATGAGTTATATACTCAATGTATTTTTACAGTTGTCAGAAGTGAGAGATTTACAATGCTAGTTTGGCTACAGATAAATCTGATTACGTTCATAAAATGTGCCGAGATACTGGACACAAGTGGGCCACTTCATCGTTTATAATTATTGCATTCTTGTGTATCCATGGATTTACTGAACGTGCTTGTTGAAACGTTCTATTGCTGCACGGTGGATAGTTTATTGCCTCCAATAATCTGTTAATGATAGTTTTATAGGTGGAAACAAATTCCAACCCACTTTTCTTTTTAGATAGTCTATTTGACATATGTTCACCTTTCTACTATCTGGCATTGTGTCTATCTGAACCTTAGTCTGAGACTTAGTCAAGGTTTCAGCTTCACTACAATCGGGTTTACCCATACTTGCTTTGTTCCCGTGCAGTGAAAATGAAATTAAATGTCCCTTCACTGTCCCATAAAAAAAAAAAAAAAACTAGTGAACAAGCAATTAGTTTCGGCAAAATTCAGAAACATGCGCACTCAGTAAATTCATATGGCAGTTGTTAGAGGTGCCAAAGCCAACAGTCGCTACCAGAAATTTAGTTTGTTGTTGATAGAAGTGGTCGAGCGCGATAAGTTAACTATCAACATCATCATGTAGCAGGTCCTTTGCAGAACGTCGCTCTCATCACGGTCTGCTTGAAAGAAACTCGGTCTCTCGCCAGTTCTCCCGCCTCATGAACTTTCACACTCAAGGAGTCGCTTATATCCTGTGCCCATCTTCATGTCGGTCGGCCCCTGCCCCTTCTTCCTGGTACCATGCCTTCTGCTATAATTTTTTCCAATCCGTCGTGGCGCTTGATATGACCAAAATATTTCAGCTTTCGAGAAAGAATGCTGTTTATTAACCAGTCTTCCTTGATGTTCAGATCTTTTAAGATGTCAATATTTCTTATCTTCTTTTTCCAAGATATTCTGAGAATTTTTCTATAGCATTTAAACTCAAAAGCCCTAATTCTCTTTCTTAAGGACTGAGAGATAGTCCACGACTCACATCCGTATGTAACCACAGGGAAGATGCATGCTCTCAAAATTCTAATTTATCTCCTTGCTGGTGCTTAACCATAGGCTTTTAAGGCTGTTCAATCTTTGCATTGCTATGGCCATCCTCCTTTTAATTTCTGTCGAACAGTCTCCATTGTTGTTTATTATAGAGCCTAGATATTCAAAGTTTGTGACATTTTCAATTTCTTCATCATTTATTGTTATTTTTGGGTGACAGCCAGTTTTATCTGTGGACATTATTTTCGTTTTCTTTAAATTCAAGAACATATTTTGATCTTCACTGTGCTTTTGGACAGACAATATTAAATTTTCTATTCCCTTTAAGCTGTTCGAAAGGAGGACTGTGTCATCTGCATAGCGAAGTTCCGGAATAGGGTTGCCACCAATTTTGAGCGGATCATAACTGTCACAAGTCTGGTAATTTTTGACATTTCTCATTATATTTTCTGCGTATATATTGAATAGGTATGGTGAGAGAATGCACCCCTGCCTCACCCCCTTTTGCACCTCGAACCAATCAGATGTTTCACCAGCTGCTCTGATGGCTGTTTGTTGTTCATGATAAAGATTTTCAATTAAAAACACTAAATGCGCTGGAAACCCCATACTTTTCATAACAGTCTACAGTTTGTGGTGCTGGACACAATCAATAGCGTTGTTAACTATACACACGTAAAATTCTTACATAAGGTATCCCACTAGCTCACACGTAAACCGGATACCGGCCATATTGAATACCAAACACTAAACTCAGTAGCTCAGGTAGTGAAACCGCAGACTACCGTTCATAGTGGAAACTGCATGAGCAAAGCGCCGACTCAAGCAAATTAATTTCGAAGCTTAACATTCTGCAATACCTAATCCTCCATTTTAGACCAGAAGTTATGTCTTTCTATCTTGCAGTTTGTCTACCCACATAACAATCCAGTCTGCATGCCTGCCTATCTGTCTGTCTAAACGAAGTGCCTTTTTGTCTTGCAGACTGTCTGCCTATACAGATGTTTCTCTATTTACCTAGTCTGACTGTGCGCATACCTTCTGTCTGGTGGCCTGGCTATTTATGCGTCTATTCGCAAACCTCATACCTATCGAGCTTGTCTGTTTATAGCTTATCAATCTAGCATCCTAATCACCTCATCTTCTTGTCTGGTAGTCTTAGTTTCAGCATCATAGCAAACGGGTCACCCCATCTTTGCTCCTGTGCTAAAGAAAAACACACAGAATGTTTATCACAGTCCCTTGTGGAAAGATTGACTGCTGTCTCAGCATATCTAGCATACACATGCATTAAAGCATACGGTAGCCATCTGAAGTGCTAACACAAACAGTCCGACATTAGAAATGCAGTTCATCATGGATGGTAGCAGAAGTCACCAACAGATCAGCAGTTGCCGATGCGATTAATTTTAATCACATACAGGCACCACCAACATTGCGACGACAAGCATCGCGCCATTTTCTGAATCTACATTTCCCACCACCACGTTGGTCACAGTAAAAAAAAACATTCCAAATTAAATCCGCAGCTCACAGTGTCACGCCATGCATTCTACTCAGAAGCTGTGGGACGAAACTATATCCAGTCTACAAATGGAGCAAAAATGCATCGGCCACTGTCCGACAGATACAAAATATTTGCCTCGGCTTTAAACAGTGGCCCTACCTAGCGTCATTTTTGACCGGTAGTCTTCTTATCTGTCTATTTGAATGTCCGCCTACCTATTTAGCTTATAATTATACACTTACCTAACCGCCTAGCCACCAATCTACCCAGAGCCGTGCCGTGCTATGATATAGAGAGGCGATCGCATCAGGCTTCACCATGGGGGGGGTGGGTGTAACCGGCGAAATCGTTAGGAACGTTAAAAACACACTTTTGTACAATCAGAATTCTTTCAGTATCAAATGAAATCAATAAAATTAGGTCAGAAGCTTTACCTTTTTAATTCATGCCCCGTGTAACCCGCCATCCCACAACTGTTATGTTTTTGTAGGTCTATCTCATATGTACCTAATTTTAATCTTACGTTGTCCTTTAGTGTCGTTTGTTGATGAAGGCTTTCTAGCCGCAACGTTCATTTTGTCGTTGGTATTTTGAAACTGACTGGTTCAACTACTTTTTTAGATTCAGATGTTTGAGAAAAAAAATGGCGGTGCAACCACACATTGGTTGTAATATTCACCAAGAGTGTCTATAGCTCTAGCCCTAAAAAAAAGATGCATTAAAAAGGTGCCAGTAATGCGTACCGCTGCACACCACTAAAATAAAAGCCATGCTTATGAAATATATTTACCATTCTCAGTAGCGATAATACACGCCAGTGTAGACTGGGATTAGTCGCGTTATCAGGAAGCCACAGTATTGATATCCTAGTGTTGTAACATATACATGGGTATTGAGTATAAACTCAGTCAATAGTAGCACACAGAAAAACACTAGCATAACCCAACCAACCGTCTTTCTAATAAAAATTTGTCTTCATAGAAGGAGAGATTAGTTGTCTACAACAATGAATACAATTCCATACTCTGAAAAATCGATTGATATCGCTTCGTGGCATGTAGTTGAACTATATGTATATGAACATTAAGTAATGACATACCGCCTTGAACAGATACGATCAATATAAAGGATATACTTTCGTTGTTAATCATACTAAAGTCGGCATACACC